GACAGGCCTCAGCCCGCCTGGAAACCCTAGAGATGGATGGGGGGAGAGTCTGAGTAGAGCCCATGGGACAACTCCCCTGGATGACGTGCGTAATTCCACCTCGCCATCTGCAGCCCTGACTAACTATCATGATTACAGTGAGAAATTTGTAAACAAGACTCAAAACCACAACACCCCTCCCTGGCCCTCCCTCCCAGCACCACTTCTGGCATCCTAGCATAATCCATATAATCCATATGCAACCGGGAACTCTCACAGGACAGTAGATGAAAGGGACACTGGAGACAGAAGGCAAGAGATTGCAATGACACCTGTCCAGGTGGGCCCCTGTCCAGGGGTGGCAGCAGTGTCCTCCGTCATAAATGTCCTGCACGACGTTGTGGTTGGGCCCTGCCTGCTGCTTTAGGCATTTCCTGCCACCTCGCTTGCGCCCCTATTATGGGCATTCACACATTTAGCATGTGTTGCCTGAGCAGACACTCTGCTAGGCGCTGGCAAGATGCTGGAAGATTCCGAGAAAACACCAAATCAAAGTCCTCTGTTCTCTATTACATGCCATAGATGGAAGAGAGGTGGGTAAACATCCTTCCCCCACCTCAGCACAGCAGGATGTTCATTCACCCATGGAACGTCACCAAGAAGGGGGCAACGTAACTGACGTCACCCTCCTCTCATCTTCGTCCCATTCTCGCCCTGACGCATGGGGACTTCATGCATGATCCCATCTCTGATACCTGGGGAGGAAGGTCCCGCAGGCTGTTGTGGGGACTGATTCTGCTGAGGAGGAATCACTGTGTTCTACAGAAGACAAACACAACTGCAGCGACATCTTGTCTTTCCCAAAATCAGCATTTTGCAGCTTAATAAGCACAGTCACATCCAGAATCTCCTGAATTCCACCAACTCCCAGGCATGGTGGTCCTCATGCTACAGAAGAGGACATCAAGGCTCAAAGCAAATTAAAAGGGCCCCTTAGCTATGAAGAGCCTGGGCTGGGACTTGCAGAGCAAGTGCCCTGCTTTGTCATTTATGCCCTCCTTCTTCTCCAAGATGTGATCTGGATGTGACCATAAGACCTGAACTAGAAATGAAAATTTGAGGGCCTCCCTGGTGGTGCAAAATGTTAAGCACTGCACTATGAAGCAATTTGCAGCCACTGCAGCATGAGTTCGATGGCTGGCCGGCCAGAGAAACACACATGGTGAAGCAGACCTCTACTGTCTCACCCACTGCTCCCCTCAGCAGTGTGTTTCAGTCGGTCTACATGCTCTGTTCCCCACTCTGTCTCTGGTGAATCCTCTTACCCCCCATCCTCTCTGGCCTGTGCCCCAGCTCTTGCATGCATAAATAAATAATTCTTTAAAAAAAAAGAGAGAAATGAGAACTTGAAACTGAACTGGAATCCACAGAACTGGGGAACACCCCGATTCTCTACCTAGAAGCAGACAGATTTTGTAACAAAGCACTTTGAATGAAGATTGCATCAGCTGGCACAATCGTGAGGAGGGAGAACAATGTTTCTGCAAGACCACATCCCTCACTAGAGGTCACTAAGAAGGAAATAAACACAAGGAGAAAAGAAACCAGTGGGCATAATTAACTGAAGACTTTCAAGGAGACTAAGAAAAGTTTCATTCTCCATGCTGCTTAGGAAAGGGGGAAAAAAAAACCCCAAGATACCATGAGATCATTAAGGATAGAGAACTGATTATCAAAGAAAAAAATTATGAGTAAATCAGATCTAGGACTAGTCTTATCTATAGGAGGAGGCAACAGAAGTTCCAGGTGAATAGCAAGTTCTTAGAATCACAGGCCCCGAGGAAAGGACCTTAGAGGCTGTCTAGATAAGTGGTTCCCCCAAACTGGTTTAAGCCTTAGAGTCCTGTGACCCATTGAAATCTATTGCAGACCGCCCATGTGAAAACCAGAGCTGCAGCCTCTGAAAGCACTGTGACCCCTCATCCACTGCACACATCCCTGCCAGGCAGCAACCACTGGGGGCTCCAAAGAGTCTCCCAGGGGTGCCAAAGAGCCCTTACCAGGGCTTGCTCTATCCACTGTGGAGCCTCCCCACCCATCCCCATCACGCTGTTCCTCATATATCCCTGCTGCATCCAACATTCTCCCTTCTGCTGGGTGGAAGCAGGCTCTCTGTAACTTCCTTGTTCTTCCTCAGCATGGTCTCTGCCTCTTCCTTGACATGGTCCTACACATACTAAAGCACCCCTGTAGGGGTCCTGCTACTGCAGGTGGTCTCCACCCTGCATCCTCCACTCTTTTTTCAGAGGGAGGCCACACAGTCACTTGACGTCACATCGGGTCCTCTAACTGCCCTGGTCACTCTCCCCTGGTGCACTCTGTTGAGTCCCCTCCAGATGTCAGCCCCCTTGACCCTCATGAAACCATCAAAACCGCTACCATTTGTTCAGCTCCTGAACATCACAGACATCCCAGCCCTCTAATAGGACCTTTCCCATTGATAATGGTTTTTGAGTAGCTACTATGTCAGGCACTTGCTAGTTCTATATTAGTATTGTTATCAATTATTAACAGAATGGAATCTGTGTTCTATGAATATAAGGATTTTGCCTCCTTTGTTCACTACTATATATATCCAGCCCCCCAATACTGCCTGACTGAATGGATAAAGTATTAGTATTAGTGCGTTATTACTATACTACATTTATTGCACACTTACCACATAAAAGGCAATTATCACATGCTATGCATATTTTGGTGTCATAAACAGGAAGACTCATTTCCTTTCTCTCTCTCTAATACACAAACACACACACACACACACACACACACAACACACACACATACCCGCCCGCACATAGGACTGAGGCTCATAGTCACTAAACACCTTGCCTCACTTAGGCCTTGCTCCATTCCACTGTAAAGCTCCCTACCAGACATCAACCCATAAGGAAAAACTTCAGAGTTAGTGAGTGGGCAGGAAAGTGATAAAGGAGCTTTGGGTTATGCAACAGCAAAGTAATTTATGCAGAGGAGAGGGAACACACAGTTGATAGGATCACGCGTTCGGAGTTCACAGGAGAGGCTGGAGTCACCCAGCCCTTTGCTGCTGCAACAGCCAAGCCTGCCCACCAGGGCTGCTTCTTGGCAAGCATCTGGAACAAGTTAGGATGCTCAGTCTCGCCCTTACAGAACTGCCACGCAGATGCCCTTCAAAGACCTCCAGGACAACTGTCACTCAGGGGACTAATGTTCACATACTAAAATCCTCTCTAGTTCCAGCCCACACCAGGCTCCCGGCCTCACTTAATCCTAACCAACAACCCTGGGAAGCAGATTTCATCCTCCTCATTTTCAGATGAGGAAAGACTTCGAAAAACTGTGTCATTGATCCAAGTCCACGCGGCCAGGAATGGGCACAACTGGGGCAGGGCAGAGCTCCTGACTTGGCTGAGCAGGAGAGGGAACAAGGACAACCCCTCGACCAGAGCAGCTGAGACCCCTAAACCACAAAGACCACCAAGGGGAACCATGAGCAAGTCCGTAAAATTATGAGAGGACCAATGCAGTCCTGTGGGCTTGAAAGGGGGCTTCGGAACTTGCAGGGGCACTGACACAACCCTCCCCACTACCTAGCTGTGTCACGGCCAGTGTACTCAGATCGGGTGTTTGCTTGGGCAGCACCTATACTAGAAATGGAACAATACTCAGAGTGGGCTCCAGAGGAGGAAACAGTCCAAGAGATGTTCTGATTTGCCTGCGTTGTTAAGCAGGTAAATAGCAGAGTGGGACTTCCAAACACAAAGTCCCTCTTCCCTCCCTGCCACTTCCCTCCACGTGGAAATTTAAAGGACAATTCTGGACAAGCAAAGAGAGTGCATGACTTTTCAATGGCAGGAGACTTTTGTGGGATCCTTTCCTAAACATCAGCCTGCAGCAAAGATGGCAGCTCCTAAGTTCAGGGAATTTGCTGATGGAAGTGAAGGTCCATCAGCCCTTCTCACCCCAAATCCCTAAAGGCTCCTGCGTAGAGGACTTGATCACTGATGACCTTCTGGTGTCCCTCGAGCCCTTGTCCTCAGTGTGTGGAAAGGGGAGGCAGCTTCCAGGCCATCAGACCAGGGAAGGGAGAGTAGGCCGAAGGGACCCAACACCCTGGGGCAGAAAGGACACGGAACAAAGCTGAATTGCTGAGAACTCAGAAAGCCCTTGGAGAACAGGCTGCTACCCAAGACAAAGGTTAGGTGGAGGATATTTGAAGAGCTACTGTTGACAGTCATGTCACCTGGAGGAAACTGGTCCTCCTTTAGTTTGACTTAGCGTACCTGGAAGCTACTAATACTTCCCTCCTGTCCTTCACACTCATGCCATGAGACCTGATAGCCTAACAACTATCAGGTTGTTAGGGACAGATAGCCTAACAACTCTGTGCCTCAGTGTCCCCATTTGTGAAAAGGAATAGCTACACCTCCGCCCTCTACCAGGGCCATAGCTCCAGTTAAGCACTCTGCCAGAACACAAAGGTTGATTCTTAAATGACTGCAACTGAACAGGCTGGCAGCAGGACAATGGCAGGCCACCTGACACCTCCCGTCTGCCCCGGGCCCTGCCCTGGAGCCATTATGTGCTGACAGGGGGGCTGAGGTGTTCAGCTCAAATTGCCAACAGGTCAGCACCTATGTGGCTTAGAACAAGGCAAAATGGTTTCTAATGTAGCAGCCGAGGCTGAGGTTAGACCTAAAGGAAAAGGCACTGCTAACAAGGCGCAGGGAGTGGAAATGTTTCCTGAGGCTCCGTCATGTGAGATCTTGGGGTCCCACCTATGTGTGGGCCAGGCTGGGGGAAATCTATGTGGAGACAGAACAGTTCAGAGGATACTTGAAAGCCAGCATGATTTCCATGGCTGAGAACCTGCCACGCACTCAGGGCTGCCGCACCACAGGCAGGCTTGTGTTTGGACACCCAATTCTCCTCCCCTCTCTCCTGACCACCAGCCCTCAGGTCCCCTCGCCTCACCTTACCTGTCATGGCTAAGACACCCAAGAGAGAGGGGACTCGCTCCACTTTGGCAAAAGCATCAAACTGTGCTCTCCCAGCTGCAGCTGCTAGCCATCGGGTTGAGAGTGGGATGCAGGTTCAGGGGTCCAAGAGCAGTGCTGCCAGGCTGGAAACAACCCCCTGAGCACTTGAGCACCTGAGTACCGGCAACTGAGCCCCACTCGGCACCCCACACAGCAAGGCGACTCAGAGTAGCATCTGGGTCTCCTGACTCACCTGAGAGCGCTCCCCACCCTCTCCTCTGGGTTCCCCGCACCCCTATCCATCTCGCTCATCTCAACAACCTAGCAGCCACCTGCCAGGGCCACAAAGGACCTGTTTATCCCATCACTTAGCAACAGCAGGATCCCTGGCTCTGGGTTTTCCCCAAGAGACCTTAGGAAGTCAGGGCTTTAGTCCCTGTGGGAGCCTGAAGCTGCTACAGACTGGAGTAGAGCCAGAAGCCCCTTCTCATGTGCCCCAGATTGTCCCTCTTCTATACCTAAGCATCTCCACTCTGGTCCTATACTGACTTCTCTCCAAAACAAGGAAATGCAGAGTCAGCAGTGCAGAGAGGAGGAGAGAAATAGGCCCCGGGGGCAGGCTGCCTGGCACAGAGAACAGACAGAGAGGTTGGCCAGACTTTCTGTTCCTTTGGCCTCTATAAGCAACTGCCTCTTTCTTGGTCTCATTATTAGCCTGGTGGAACACTAATGCCCACTTCATTGTGTGGTTATTAACCCTTTTATCTGCTTCACCATCTCTGAAAGAAAGTTTCCAATTATCCAAAGGGATCTTGAGAGTCAGAGAGGTTGAAGGGCATGCCCAAGGTACATAGCAAGTCAAAGACAAGGCAAGAGGAGAACTCACTCCCCAGAGTGGGTCTCATGGCTTCTCTGCAGCACACTTAATCCTCACCCCCATTTAAGAACAAGAGCCACCTGTGTCTGAGTTCTTTCTCTAAGCTGGAATGGAAAAAGGTCCCTGAGATGTTCACTTGTGACTTGGAGCTGAGCTAAGCCCAAGCAGAAGTTTGTATGGGTTCTAAAGCAGCAAGGACTGAGAGCACACAGTAAAGAAAGGAATGAGAAGCCCATGAAAAGGTGCAAATTTAACAGAGGAGCGGGGAGAGGTGCCAACCACAGCAGTAGGGCTTACCCTATTCATGGTTGACTAGAACAAGCCAAGAACCAAGCAGAGGTAGGTTTGTCCTCAGACCAGGAAGAGCTGGGGAGAGGTGGAGGAATTTCTGCAGGTTGATGGAACACCAACTCTACGCAACTACACTTACGGCAGGGGAGTACAGAAGCAAAAGGACCCTGCCCCCGCTGGTGACACTTACCCAAATGGGTCCTAAAACAACACACTAGTCCAAAAGCCTCCCCCAAGAGCTGGTCTGTTACTCCCTTGCTCTGAGGCCAAAGTGGCAACTTCATCCACATGAGCTTTGGTTTTCTCTTCTGTACAAAGAGAACGATGTCTCAGGACTGTACTGAGGATTAAGTGGGGGAACATTTGTGAACGGTACTGTAAGCTATAGATGACAAGACTGTAGGGTAAAGAAAATATCAGGCTTTTCTGCCCTTCCGCCATCAGGATAGATGATGGATCCTTGTCCTGAATGCATGCCTGATGGTGGGCACCTGGAATAGGGTGTGGGCATAGGTAGATGGGATTCAGCTGAGCTAAGACTGTGCTTTTAAGGGCGGCGTCACGGGGGGACGCCAGCAGCACCAGCACCAGCAGCAGCCGCAGCCGAAGCCGAGAAGCAGCAGAACGAACGCTAGAGAGCCCAGATAGAGTGAGGACTTGCTGGGGGCTGGGAGGCCTGCCAGCCTCCCAGCCCCCCAGCCAGCACCCTGCCTGCCATATGCCTGGTGAACCCCAAATAAAAACCTGCAAAACTACTGAGGACTCTGACTCCTCCTTTACCCGATCTGCATGGGATCAGAAAACGTGCACTGTATCCAGTCCTGCCTTTACAATTGGCGTAAGTCGGCAGGATCCATGTACACGGGTATTGGAGCCCTCTGAAGACTTGGAGGGACTAAGGAGAACAGATTGCCTGTTATGACGCTGGAGGTGCAATGGCGGCACAGAAGGTGGACAACGTCCACGAGCTACAGGATGAGACCTGGCGTGAAGGAGACGCCCGAAAGGACCAGCCAATGACACCGGATAGGACCAGCCAACGACACCGGATAGGACCAGCCAACGACACCGGAAAGGACCAGCCAATGACCCCTGAGGCAGCAGGCCATTGCTGAAGCAGGGAGAGGCCAATGGACTGATAGACTGATGAACTGATGATTTTGGACTGACAATCCCGCCAGAAGGCGGAGGACCTTAGCAGGTTATGTTTATTTTTTGAGAATCTGGGGGTGGCCAGTGGGCCTAGATGGCCAAAAGCAGCCTGTGTATGCCCAGTGGCCAGGTGGAGGAGAAAAGCCATCTAAGGTGGCAAAAGCTGGTACTGATGCTAAGTTGAGAAGCCCTAAAGCGGCTGTTAAGCAGCCTGGGTATGCTGAAGCCCTGTGAGTCTCGTAAAATCACCTATGGGTGATGCCCTGCTCATTCTTGAGTGAGGGTGAGGAGCTGAGGAGCCCGTCCTTGGGGGACGGGTGGGGAATGTGGCTTGGGGTAGAGCCCAAGCCAAATGCAAAGTTTGGATCCCCAACCCATGTGCTTGTGCAGTGGGTTGGCTTGAGAGCAGGGGTCTGTGAGTCGCATGGGTGGCCATGAAGGCCGAGTGTTGGAGCGACTGCAGACAGAAACCCTGAGGGTTGGCGATTACCCCCAACAGAATAAAATTGCCAATCCCAGAGCTAGTGCATCCTGGGGGTGGATGCGGTGTGTGCCTTGTAGCCGAGACTACAGCCAGAGAAGGCCAGGAAGCCTGACGGCTCCTGGTGTGATATAGCAGATGCCGTGTGTGATTTCCCCTCCCTCGCATGAGCAGTGCCTTCGGCAGCAGATTTGGTGGCTCATCTGCTGGTACCAATAATTGTCTTTTGCACTTGGTTGGTGCCCTGCCTGGACTTATTTATGTTCTGTTGTATTTTGTTATGTTGTATTTTGTTATTTGATGTATTTGCTTTTGTGGGCCATGGCTGCATTGTTTGTTTGCTTAGAAAATTGTGTATATATGTATAGACTGTATGGCAGAAAACCCTGAGGGGGTGGACTGTAGGGTAAAGAAAATATCAGGCTTTTCTGCCCTTCCGCCATCAGGATAGATGATGGATCCTTGTCCTGAATGCATGCCTGATGGTGGGCACCTGGAATAGGGTGTGGGCATAGGTAGATGGGATTCAGCTGAGCTAAGACTGTGCTTTTAAGGGCGGCGTCACGGGGGGACGCCAGCAGCACCAGCACCAGCAGCAGCCGCAGCCGAAGCCGAGAAGCAGCAGAACGAACGCTAGAGAGCCCAGATAGAGTGAGGACTTGCTGGGGGCTGGGAGGCCTGCCAGCCTCCCAGCCCCCCAGCCAGCACCCCTGCCTGCCATATGCCTGGTGAACCCCAAATAAAAAACCTGCAAAACTACTGAGGACTCTGACTCCTCCTTTACCCGATCTGCATGGGATCAGAAAACCTGCCTTGTGCCCTGTCCTGCCCCTTACAAAGACCAAGCTGCAAAAGTCAACTGTTCGGCCTCCACCTCTGGGACTTGAGTGAATGTCTTTCTGCCACCAGTGACCAGCTGAGCAATCAGGCAATGGACAGGTGTTTTCCATCATCTCACACCACCACGTCCTCAGGCCCTCTGGGCTCTGGCTACTGGCTTTCCCACCCTTCCATTGTGCTCCAGAGAGCAGAGGCCTCATTCCCAGATGATTCTTAGGTCAGACACCTGCTGGGCTAGACCCATGAGTCAAGGCTCTGCCCCAGGCTGAATCAACAGAGCACATGGACTGACTGACCTAGCCAGTGGCCCCAACCAAAAGGGAAAGGCCATTGTGTTCACTTGGTCTGGGCTGGGCCTGGGCTGTGGCAGCTGTAGCCTGAGACTGAGTTCAATTTGAGGATAAACAGAAACGCCTCCAGCAAAGCTGATACAGAGGCTCTTTCAGATGAGGAAACAGTATGGACATGGGCATGAAATTGATAGAAGGAAGGGGTCCTCATCTGAAATTTGAAGGCGTCTCCTGGGATAGTCCCCACAGGCCCTTCTGCTTTGCACCCTGTATCCATGACAGGGACCTATCACAGTAAACCTTTCTGGTGCCCGCATCTGTCAGACCCACTCTCTCCCTTCCCCAGCTCAGGACTGATGCTGGCCTCGGAGGAGGTGCAGCTGCTCCGAGTCCCCATCTCTAACCTTCCCCCTGATAGTCATGGTCAGTGGTGGTCCCCAGTTGCCACACATAGACCTAAAAAGCAGCCACCTCCCTGCCCATTATCCCCGACACATGAGACCTTCACCAGCTCCCCTTCCCAGAAGTTTAGCGCCCCGACATCTCTGATCTCCCTGTCAGTCATGTTTGCCAGAGAGGCTTCACCAAAAGTCCAAGAATGGGTCACTAACAGGGGTGGCACAGGCATTGGAGCAGAGCACAGGAAGGACAGCAGTTAGATGCCTCAAAGCCCTCAGATGGTTTTAACAATGAAGAAGCCACCATAAACACGCCACCCAAACAGCAGTGACCCATAACCTACAACTAATCATGAAATTGCCCGGCCCGCATAAGCATCATGCCCCTGCCAGGCAGGGGGCAAGTCTCTTCTGTTTATTTACTCAACAAATCTTGACTGCAGGACTTGGACAGACCAGGTACTATATGCGGAAGCCTCCCCACCGGAGGAACCATCCTCCCGAACCCTGTGTTCACCCTGCCCTTGCCTCCTGATGGAGAAGATGCTGTGTTCTATGTGATATCACAGGACTGACTTTTTCCTTTAATATTTTTTAATCTCCTTTTTTTAAAGATTTATTTATTTATACAAGCACTGGGGTACGAGCCAGAGGCACGGGAGGGTGAGAGAATTCACCAGAGACAGAGCGGGGA